CATGACAATGCAACACATATTCTAGAAACGTTAACTACTATGCCTCATTGCCACAAGTGCCTTTGGGCCAGAGGGTATATGTCAATTTCAAAAAAGGCCAAATATTTTCCCATATCACATTCTATGGTGAGATTACCGATGAGGCAATCTCATGCTTGCTGTAGAAAACGTCAAGGTCAATTATTTTTCGTTTATAAGTAGGCTTCAGAGACTACTAGTAGATTGGATATATGAGGTGTATATAGCGTATTTTGCTTAGATTAAAGGAAGACTGTACGTTGAAATTTCGCGCAATGATATGAATAGGCCTTACGCGAAAACCTACTCAAATCGAAACTAGGATTGTCTAATTATTCTGCTCAAGATATACTCTACTACTCCCCGAGTATGAGTGGCAGTAGTGTGTAATGGCAACATTGCTCCAAGAAGGCTTTATCGAGATCTTACATGCAAACCGTAAGGATAGTTTTGGACACAATTTAGCAAAGAATTCTATTAATAGACAAATGAACTTGACCTTAAGCAATTTGAAAGTTTGTACAATAAACCCTTGGTCAATGTTGGAGTAAATTTTACTTCGTCTGAAGAGTCTAGTTGAAGGGATTCGTAAGTTGGTCTAACCAAAAGCTGTATGAGGATTGCCTTGGAGCTGTGATTGTAGCTTTGTGCTCCCTGCGACCCCGATGGATCCTGGCTGAGCCTTCGTCCGTCGCCTAAGGGACATCGTCAGAGCAGGATACCATGCCTAACGATAATTCACCAAAACACGAAGACCAAAAGGATAGTCTGTTTCAAACCTACCTTTGAAGTCGGGCAACTTTCTTGTCTGCTCGGACGATGCCCATTACACGACGAATGAAAGCTAAGCAAGGATTGATCGGGGTCGCAGGAAGGTGGACCGACGACTTATTCACACAAAGCTACAATCACAGCTCCAAGGCAATCCTCCTACAGCCTCCGGTGGGACCAACTTCACCAGCAATCTATCAATGGATTCTTCTAAACCCAGTTTTTCTGCCAACCATTGGCCATTTTGTCTTGTGCGGGGCCAGTACTTGGTGTAAATGAGCAAATTTAGCAAGACCCTGCTTTAATGGATTCGCAGAAACCAGCTTAAACTAATTTTCTAGGATTTGCCATTAATTCCCTTGTTATACACTTTATGCTCTGACCGCTTCCATTATCCGGGTTGTCCCATTCAAGGCGGGTGCGATCACTTTCAACTTTTACTTTTCACTAAATCGTTGAGCTCAGATGTGCTACACACACACGTACACACACACATACACACACACACCACCCTCGAAATCTAGTTCGGGCTCCAGTCAGTAGAATCGGCCCGGGGGGTTGTCGTGGCAATTTGGGCTCAATGGAAGAACAGGGCAGGAAAGAGACGTTAAAGTCTTCCATGTGTCTCAACTGGGTCCGCCGATGATGGTCACTCCCGTCAGCTCTGAATGGCCCGTGAAGAGGGTCTAGACTCCAGAAGAGGGCCCACTCGGCCCAAACCCTGAGGCTTGCTTCTTTTCCTGCTCACCTTGGACGCACTACAGCCGGATCAGTTGGCACCTGACCTCGGCCACCGGGT